CTCATAGTATTTTTCATAGACTACTGAATATTACTGATAGGTTGCTCAGTTCAAACCCAGCCAGCATCTCGGCAGAAGAAAGACTTGGCCATCTGTTACCATAAAGATTGCTGTTGTTGTTAAGTACCGTTGAGTTGTTCTGACTCACAGCGACCTGTTTGGGGTTTCTGAGGAGAGATTGATGGGTTTGAACTGCCAACCTTACTGTTTAAACCAACCGTGCAGTCTAGTGCTTATCCTAAAACACAGTACCATAAAGATTTGAGCCTAGAAAACCCTAGGGGCAGTTCTAGTCAGTTACGTTAGGCTGCTGTGAGTTGACATTGGCTCAATAGTACCTGACGATTGAATATTCTATACACAAGGGTAAGTCAGAAAGTATTGCTGCTGGGGTTCCAATTCCTGTGTGTAGATTTATTTCAAGGAAACACGTTTAAACATGTGTCTGTGATCAGTGCATGACTGCAGACAAGTCCTTTCAGTAGTACATTTGCCTTAATCTCATTACAGTGCTCTCAATAAAAGGTCCAGTCGGTACAGTGGCTTCTGAGAGGATCTGCTAGGCCGGTTAAATTCCAGGAAGAGAAGTTCATTCAAGTTATGGCAGCTGCTTTCTGGGATTTCAAAGGCGTAATCTTGACAGATTTTCTCAAAGGATACAGGATGATCACAGGGGCTTACTACGAAGAGGTTTTCAGAAAACAGAACTGCATTGAAAAAGTTCAGGAAAGTGCACCAAGGCATTTTTTCCATCATGACAATGTACCTGGTTCATTCTCTGTGGGTAGCAAGGGTTGTCCTAGGACAGTTTTGTTGGGAAGCCTATTAACGTTATAAGCCTGATCTTGCCTCTGGAGATTTCTTTTTATTCCCCACTCACAAAGAACATGGAAAATGACCATGATTTTAGTCCCTCAAGAATGCCAAAACTGCTGTTTTGAGGTGGTATAAATTGAAGACCTCAGAATTGTTTGGGGAGGGGCTAGAGAGGCGGTACACCTCCTTCAGCAGTGTACAGGCCCAGCTAGAGGAGATGCTGAAGACCAGCATCTTCACATTTTGATGAGCTATCTATGATTTGATAGAAATATAGTCTTGCCTGACCATGGCATTCCACAGGTGAATGTCGTCTGTAGAACTTCAATAATCACATTTTCTAACAGCAATAACCAAATAATCACTTTTTCTAACCAAATAAACCACCTTTTTAAAAAGTTGCTAATATCTGGATAGTGATTCAAAATTAGTTTCATTATGCTAAACAAGAAAGCAGTTTTGCAAATAGAAATCAATACCGCTGTCAATGGAAAACAACTAGCATGCTCCTTAGAAGTGAGAATGGTGAGACTTGCTCTTGTTTCCTTTGGCCAAGTCCCCAGGACAGAGCAACCACTAGAACAGGCACCATGTATGCTAGGGCAGAGTTGGTGAACATGAGGAAACTCCTCATGAAGAGGCACACAGCAAGGCTTCGTTCTGTCGTACACAGGGTCAGCAGGAATCAGAGCCCCTCAGAGCCGGTGTAACTGAAAAGCTCTCACGCTCAGAAAGCGGCTCCAAGCCTTCAGTAAGTACATTCACAGAAGGTGTCACTTTTTATGGGAAGGTTTATTCTGTAAAAAGTAATCATTTTGAGGATACTCATGTTACTCTTTCAAAGTAATGCAAGTACAATGATAAGCGTCTGAGTAAACGGTACCCGGATTTATGAACTCCTTTTTAACATACTGAAGGTACAAACAGGTGACCCAATTATAAAAAACATAAACTATAACAGTAAACACAACTCAACAGTCATGAAAAAATAGAGGATTGCTCAAAAATACTAAATTCAAGTGATGTGGACATTGTATGCAAGAAACCCAGGCTGTCTGATCGGAGTGACCCTTTCATCGTCTTTTCTGAAAAACAAATATGCACTTTAAAAAGTTCAACTTCTAACTTCTCTTTCTCAAAATACTTTCAAAACATGACTATGCAACTGAACAGATCTTAACCATTGTCCCATGAAATTGTCTCGTGATGTATAAATAAATTTAACAGAAAATAGTAATTTAAAAAAAAAATAATAAAAGCCAATCTAGCAATGAAAGTAGTTGAGATTCCAAGAGTGATGTGGAATTCCTGTGGCTGGTCTCCCTCCCCATCCGTTCCGTTCATCCTGGCACTTGAGACTGAGAACGACTTTGCAGACTGTTCAGCTTGAGCTCCATTCTACCTTTCTCATCTCTCGGCTCTGAGACAGTCCAGGGAAGCACCCACGTCTCCCTTGGTTTCACCAGACAGGGAAGTCTAGGCCCGCACCTCACGCCCACACCCAAGCCACAGTAACTAACAGTACAGAAGTGCCTACAATCTATCATCATTCCAGCAGCAGAGTGAACTTTTCTAGTGATTAGCTTACTGCACTGTTTCTTGCCTTAAAGACTAACCATTAAAAAACAGAAATCTTTAAAAACCTTAAATTCAAACTGTCCCTAGACGAATGGTGGTGGTGATGGTGGTGACGTGCCATGGAATCGGTGCCAACTGGGACGTAAACGTAGCCCCAGTCAGTGGAGTATTCCCTTCCTCCATTCCTACCTCACACAAGTCATTTTCCTCCCAGTTATCCATAATGTCAACCTAGGTGTTTGCCTTGGCAACATCAACAAACAGAGTCTTGGATTTGTTTCAAACACATTAAGAGCTCTGGGTAACAAACAAGAAGCTTCCATTATCGATGACTTTCATCTTTGCCGTTTTCGGTCCACACACCCACAGTGCAGGAAGCATCGGGAGCAGGCTGCTCCAGGGAACGGGTTTGGTTCCTGGCTTCCGAGGGGGACTGAGACGACACCGCGGTGGCACACAGTGGAGTCCGCTTCAGTTTGATCACTCGTGTGGGTGTAGGCTTCTTGTCGGAGAGTAGAACCTTTGCTGGAGGTGGGTGTGTGGCCCCATTTTCAGCACTCCTGGGTCCTGAGGAGGCCTGGGGCTCCACGCATGCACTTGTGCCCACAGCAGATGTGGCTTTCGAAGGTGCAGATCCGCTATGAGGCCTGTTTGCCATCGCTCGGGCTGAGGTCTGGGGAGGCCTGGCTGGAGACACTCTGACTGAAGCCGAATTCTTGACTTTGATCTGGGTGCTTGTGGAAGGGCCCAAATATCTTACCGGCTTAGGACCAGTCTTACAACTCACAATTTCTTCCTCTTCATTAAAAGCTACCAGTCGCCTAAAAATACAAAAGCATGTCATTTTCAGCATTTACACCTTCAATAACTAATGGAAACATCACCAAAATTTAGCTTCAGAATGAACAAGGGTTTTCTTGAGAATTAGAGTCAAAAGGTTTATAGGTATCAAACGCTCTCATCTCTCATCACCAACTACAGTAGAAATATAAATTAGCACAGTTCTGGTGAGGCATGGTAGGATCAGCACTGGACTACTAACCACAAGGTTGGCAATTCAAACCCACCAGCCACTCTTCAAAAACCCTGTACAACGTCATCACTGAGTTGGAACCTACTCAGCGGCACTAAACAACAACTATTAAAGATCATTTCAACTTCAACGTATACTTTTTATCTCCTAAGAGACAATCTCCTATCTATACAATCAGTCGTTATTAAAAAATTGTTGCCAGTTGTTACTGCAGACAAGTCAGAACTTGGAGAGCATCACACAAGAATTATACGCCTCTCTGTTCCCAGTCCTAATGTGATCCACAGGATAACCAGGAATGCCCCCAGTTTGCTTTCCCAGAGCAGCAATTTCAAGAGATTTACTGAAAACAAAAAGGGTTTCACAGTCAAATAAATGTGAGAAATGCTGTTGTCTATTTTGCTTTACTCGTGGGGATCTGCTAATCCATGTTAACAAATTACAGGTTCTGAAAAGGCCCCGGGTCAAATCTGTTTAACTTCGTTGGATCTGTTATTTCCCAATCATTCTGCATAAGTAAACTACCTTCAACATCCAGTACAATTAGCCTTCTGTGGAACACACTTAGGATGACTAAACCCATGATAAACTTAGATGCCTTCTGAATTTCAGATGTTTTAAAGATTCCTGAACTGATTTTACTGTTCATTATGAGCCTAAGGGTGAACATTTAAAACTAAAAACAATTCAGCATCAGTGTCAAAACCTTGCTCCTGTCTACTGCTTCTTCCTGCTTCATTTCATGGACTCCACCTCCTGGATGGGAATCCAACATCTGTCCTCCAGTCTTTCCCACACACAGCATCACTGTGGTTTTCAGAGGACAGTACCTCATATAGTCAATTCTGACTCTCAGAAATAGAGTCATATTCACCTAATTATTTTAGAATTGCTATATTAGGCAAAAGGAGCCCTGCTGGCATAATGGCTAGGCATTCGGCTGCTAAACTAAAGGTTGATGGTTCAAACCCACTCAGCAGCTCCAAGGAAGAAAGACTCATGATCTGCTCCCATAAACATTCAAAGCCAGAAAACCCTAAGGGAGTTCTACTCTGTCACATGGATCAAAATTGCTATGAGTCAAAATTGACTCGTAAGCACCCAACAAAAACAACATATAAGGTAAATAATGCAATTATAATATTGTTGTTGTTGTAGTTATGTGCCGTGGAGTCGTTTCCAACTCATAGAGAGCCTGCACAGGGTTTCCAAGGCTGTAAACCTTTACAGGAGCAGAAAGCCTCAGCTTTCTCTCACGGAACAGCTGGTAGTTTCGTACTGCTAATATATTTAACCCATAACGCTACTGGAGTTCTTGTGGTGCACGGCTAACACACTCAGATGCTAACAGAAAGTTAGAGGCTCAAGTTCACCCAGATGTACCTCAAAAAAGGCCTGGTGAAATACGTCTGAAAAATGAGCCGTTAAAAACTCTTTGGAGCAAAGTTCTGCTCTGGTATACATGGGGTTACTATGAGTCATAATCAGCCTGATGGAACTAGGTTAGCTTTTTTTGAAATCCTACTGGTCATAACTGAATTTTCTCTGGCGAGTCAATGGTTCTTTGGGATCTCACAAGTGTTTCTAAGTCATCATTATTATTATTGTTTTGGAATCTCAAAAATGCTGGTTAACAGATTCCTAGAGAAAAGACACCTAAGCCAGGCGTGGGGCCACATAAAACCTTCCCTGCTTGCTTTCTTGTCTGTCCACACCTTCCCTGAGACTGTAGGCCAGACTTCCTCCCCTACTGGCCCTATGACATTATGGGATAGATACAGCAGTGTTGTGGGGGTCTGTCCCTGGTCTCTACCCACTATATGCTAGTAGTAATCCCTCTCCTAGTTGTGATAACTCCAAGTGTCTCCAGTCCTCAAATGGTCTCTGGGAGACAAAATCACTCCCAGTTAAGATTCATGTCTCTAGATGCAAATGATATTTGCTAACCACAGGTACAAAATGCAAAATAAATAATGATAATAAAATGAGGGCCTTTAAGTACCAAGATGTGTTTTGACAAAAAATAATTGATTAAAAATGTGAATAAACTCTGCATTTCTGTGACAGATTCAGAGAATAAAAAGAAAAAGACAGTAGTGTGAAATCCCACTGAGGCATTGACTAAAATCCTAGTATTGAGATAGTTAAGCTATCAGAACATGTGAAGGCCAGGACTATTCAGACACGAAAAAAGAAGCGTGATTTTAAATGAAGGACAAAAAAAAGGGGAGTGAATTTAAAGTGAATCATTAATGGAATGTAAGAAAACACCATTAAATAAAAAGGGGGGAAACATTATCGTGGCATAGTAGAAAAACAGGAATTCAGAATAAGTAACAATCAAGTTTAAATCTAAATCTAAATTAATTCTTTGACTACTACCAATAAAAACTGGATTTCACCTTTGTGGGGAGCAAATTCCCCATCACAGAATTTCCAGTCTCCTGAACATAGAGTGAGAACACAGTGGCTTTCTAGGATAAGCACTGGACTGCAAACCACAAGGTCAGCAGTTCGAGCCCACCAGCTGCTCCATGGAAAGATGTACAGCCTCAGAAACCCTGCTCTGGTCCATTATGAGTAGAAACTGACTGGCCAGCACTTAGCTTCAGCCGCAGCAGCAGCAACTTTTGAATATTACCCGCAATCTTTACATAAATGGCTTTGGTGACTTGGTATTTATCTAGATACATATTGTGACGATAAAGCAGAATACTCATCCAGATGATTAATAAGCTTATAGGTCAAGAACATTACTCAATTTCTCCTCATAAAAGGCAGTAAAAATATAGGCCATAGATAAGAAGAAGAAAAAAAAAAAATCAACAGAGCACCATCACCTTTTTCGAACAGGGGCCATGTGGGGTAAACTTCCAAGTAAAGGCTGCTCTTCCAGCGTCCAACACTCTATCAACTCGTGAGGCACCAGCCAGTAGCTGACACCTGGAAGATACAAAGGCAGCAGTTAGTCTGACTTAGGGATGACTCCTACTAGCCCTTTAATAGGATGTACATTTGCCCTTACTTTGAAAGGACTGAACATTTCCAGCAGATTCTCCATCACAATCACCTTCGCTTGCTACACAGGCAGCTTCTAAATCACTGAATCGGCTGAGAGTCTTTCCTTATACTAAAACCCAACCCAAACCCCAAACCAAACCCATGGCCATTGAGTTAATTCTAACTCACAGCACCCCAGTGACTCTGAGTCAAACTTCAGAGAGGAAGTCCTATAGGCTTTCCACGTCTGCAAATCTTTACGAAAGCAAACTGCCACATCTTTCTCCCACAGAGCAGCTGGTGGGTTCAAACTGCTGACCTATTGGTTACAGTGGGTGCTTTAGCCACTTACCACCAGGGCTCCTGTCTTACACTAAAATCCAACCACTGCCTTCAAATTGACTGTGACTCAGAGTGATCCATATAGGGTTTCTGAGCTGAAATCTTTTAGGGAGCAGACAATCTCATGGCTCAGCTGGTGGGTTTGAACTGCCAACCTGGCAGTTGGTAGCCCAGTGTTATCCCACAGCACCACCAGGGCTAAAGAACTGTGTGCGTCTGTGCTGACTTACCTACAAATTTGACTAAAAGACAAATGTAGGAACGTAGGACACCAGGAAACTGACTGCAGTTAATAGAGCCCTTATCCACGCAAAATGGTCAGCAACAGTGTTTCAAACAGACTGGACAGAGTTTGAGGTTCATCTATCCCATGTGACAAAGCAAAGGAGCTGTGTACACACACGCAGGAAGTGCTCACACTAAGGGGCGGTACAGTGCGATGCAGGAGCACACGGCTTGTCAGCTGGTGTCAGCCCTGGCTCCCAAACCCTGAAGGTCATTCTACCTGTGCGCGCTGGACAGGAACCCAAGTTTCAGGGTCCAGGCTGCCTGAATCCAGCTCCAACTCCTATCACCCACTGATTATACGGCCTTGGGAAAGATGCTTAACCTTCGTCTGCCTCAATGTTCTCATCTGTGCAAGGACGACAGGAACAGTACAGACCTTACAGGATTGTGGTGAGGTTGTCATAGCTAACAAATGTTAGAACAGGGCCTGGCACAGTACAAGCACTCCAAAAGCACTGGTGGCATTACCAGAAGCCCTGGTGTTACCAGCGGTGCAGAGAAGCCTGTGGGAGCCAGGAATCCCAGACTCTGCCGTGGTTTTCCGGGTCTCACAGGTTTTCCACTTTCACAGGGAGTAGTTTTGCTGCTTTTCATGACTTATTTCAGTGAAAGTATTTTGAGATTTCCTTCTCTGAAAAGTTTTCCTCCTTACACAGTTCTAGTTTCCGCATGGTTTTCGCAGGGTCTCCAGGGGTAGAAACCGATTCAGCAGTACCTAACAACCATGATCGGTCTTATGATAACACTGAGCCTGTCTACCTCACTAGGTGGCTGTGACCATCTAGTCAGGCAACTGCTAAGACCCATGCAATAAACAGGAACTGCTATACAAATAGGAGGTATCATACTAATTTATATGAACCTTTTCAAACCAGAACTAATAATCCCAGTCAAGTTCATTTTAATTTTTAAATCAGATGTGTTTCTGATCAAAACCTGAAAAATGCAACCTATGACTCTTGAAGATGTCATGTTAAGGGAGAGAAGCAGGCACCAGAAGTCTCATCATACTATTTTATTTAAATGAAATATCCAAACTTAGGAAACCCATAGAGAAGAAAAGCAGATTGGTGCTTGCCAGGGGTTGCAAGTAGGGGACATGGGGTTTCCTTTGGGGGTGATGGAAATGTCTTAGAACTAGATAAGAGCTGATGATTGTATAACATTGTTAATGCACTAAATGCCACTGAATTGTATGTACATTTAAAAGTAGTTAAAATTTGGATATGTGAATTTCACCTTAATTTAAAACTAGAACATATCATATTCTGTTGTTAAGTTGATTCTAACTCATTGCAACCCTGGATAGGGTCTCCAAGGAGTGGCTGGTGGATTTAAACTGTCCACCTTGTGGTTAGAAGTCCAGTGCTGATCCTACAGTGCCACACCAGGACTCCGTATTATATGTTGTTGTTGTTGTTGTTGTTGTGTGCCGTCGAGTCGATTCGGATCCATAGAGAACCTGCATAGGGTTTCCAAGGCTGTAAATCTTTAGGGGAGCAGAGCACCTCATCTTTCTCCCACGGAACTGCTAGTAGTTTCCAACTGTTGACCTTGAAATTAGCAGCCCAGTTCGTTACCACTATGCTACCAGAGCTCCTTATATATGTAAGCACATGAAAAAGGCTTAAAGAAGAATGATAATAACTACTTGGATTTTTAAAAAAATTTAAGTAACCTTGTAAGTTCCAAGAATGAATTTGGTGTCTTCCTTTTATCATTAAAGTTCCGATAATAACAATAATAAACTTAGCAAGCCAGGAACATAAAATATGAAATAATTAGATATGTGTGTAATACTTTAAAAACTCTATGAACCTCAAGACAATAACTTTCTGGAACTGTTTGATTGCACATTGCTAAAAAATACTCTCATATCTTTTCCACTAAAGATTTTTTTTTTTTAACTCAGATTTACATATAATTGACATAAGAAACGATCTAGTCTTTCTAAGTAGTTTAGTGAGTTCTGAGCAATGTATACACTCATATCATCAGAGCCACAATCAAGATACAGAACAAATCCTCAGCCCAAAACGTTCCTTCATACTTCTCTGCAGTGCATGCCCTCCTGTCCCTGTAGTTTTGCCTGTTGTGGAATGTCAATCACAAGAGATCATATTATGTGTCGCCTTCTGTGTTCGCTTCTTTAGCACTGTGCTTTAGAAATCCATCCCATGGTGATAAACATATGCCTCAATGACCACAACTTTTTATCGCCAAGAAGTGTTCCACTGTAAGATTATACTACACTTCATTTAAATAAATTTCATTTCTTCCTAACTACATGTACATGTAGTTCCCTAGCTTTCCTAACTAAGTACATGTAGGTCCCCAATTTATTGTGGGTTCTGTTCTGACAACTCTAACAAAAGTCAGTTCTGACCTAAAACAAATTCCTCATTTTTTCATTTATTATTTTAGCTTTCATGATTATTGCCTTTTAATAGCAGTATCTTGATCATTCCAGCAGTGTTTTGAACAGTAAATCAAAAAACTGAACATCTGAAAATGAATTTCTGTGACTGGTAACACCAGAAAATGATGTACTACAACTGATTTCTAACAATAAGATATATACACACAAAAGGAAGGTTGTAAGTGTGATTCCTTGTAACTCAAATATGTCATAAGTTGGGTACTACTTTTAATTCATATTCATTGTACGAAGTCAGGAGAATAACAAAAAGAGAAGTAAGAAAATCAAAATCACTCCTAATCACATAACCAGGAATCATAGCACATGATATTCATTTTGTTTCTACTTTATCATTTCTTATTTTATCATGGGTATTCTTTTACATAAAGTGCACTAGTAGCATAGCGAGTTACATTTACTGAGCCGCTACTCTCAAGTCCAGCAATTCAAATCCACCAGTCTTTTCTAAGTGAGACATAGGCTTTCTGTTCCGTAAGGAGTTACAACCTCAGAAGTCCTATGCAGGGGTGCTAGGAGTCAAACCGAGTCAACTGAAAATGGCCACTGAAGCAGCTTTCTCCTATGTATGAAATGATTTTTAAATCCTTTTAATGCTATTCTATTCCACTGTGTGGATGCGCCAAATGTATTCAATACTCTGTCAGGCATTTAGACTTTTTTCCTATTATGATTAAAGTATCATTTGATAACATTTCTATTCAGAAGTCTTTATCTGCATTGATTATAACCTTACAGTAAATTCCTAGAAGTAGAATTATTGCGTCAGAGAATATGAACATATCTGATGCTATTGATATGTACTGAAAAATTATTTTCCAACAAATTTCTACCAAATTTTACTGCTGCCAGGAATGCATGAGAGAATTTTACTAATTTGTGATCTAAAAAATAATTCCCATTTAATTTATAGTTTCTTCATAAATAATGAGGTAGGACCTCCTATCACATGTATTTTCTTTTATCAGATTTTGTGCACATGAATCTTGCATATTTTTTTGGTAGTTGATTTTCTAATCAAATAAACCCACTATATGTTAAGAGTAACATCTTGTCCAGTTAGTTCATTATTCTTTCAATCTGATTTATAGGTTTAAAAATATTTTAATATTCTAGATAATTAATATATTATATAATCAAATTGATCAATTTATGGTTTAAAAATTATAATTTCTTCCCCTATTAAGAAATCAGTTATTTGCTAAAATTTCCTTTTAGCTTACTAGCTTGTTTCTTCATTCATAACTCCACCTGGAATTACTTTAATGGATGGTGTGAGGTTAATGTTCTGTTCCCCACCCCAAGTAGTTACCATTGTTCTCAATTTCTTGTTAAATCATCTATCATCTTTATGATATTTAATGTTTTATAACAGAGTGTCCTTAGTCTTGTAACTTTGACTGGGGCCCACTCTTGATCTCTGTACCTAACCTTGGACCAGTAACAAACAATTTTTAAATGTTTCACTATCAAATAGAGCTAGACTCACACCCTTGTTTTTGTTGTTATGTGCTGTGGAGTCAGTTCCAATTCATAGCGACCCTGTACAGGGTTTCCGAGGCTATAAATCTTTACGGGAGGAGAAAGCCTCATCTCTCTCCCGCAGAGCAGCTGGTAGTTTCGAACTGCTGATCCTGACGTTAGTAGCCCAATTCGTAACAACTATACTGCTACCAGAGCTCCTTAGACTCACTCCCTAGTTACTTTTATTTCTCAAAATTGTCTTCAGTATTTTTTCTGTTAATTCTTTCATGAATTTTAGAATAATTTCCTTAAGATTCTAAAAAAGTTCCACTGAATTTTTGGTAGGAACAATTATTTTAGGAAACCTATAAAGGAACTCTGGTAGCATAGTGGTTACGAATTGGGCTGCGAA